AGCAATACCTAATAAACTATGATAAGTACATGCGCGTGTAATAGCCCGTGTCGAGCGCGGCTTGGATTTTTTTTTCGGTAGCCTAACTTCGGACCAAGTTAGTCTAGAAACCTTGCGAATTAACTGGACCGTTTATTCGGCTGACGAGATTTTTAAAAATTATTGAAGTCCTTTAAATTTTTTTAATTTTAGTGTTCGGTAACGAAATTTAAGGCCAAGTAAGTCAAAAAAATCTTGCGACTTATTTGGCTCTTTTACTCGGCTGACGAGATTTTAAAATGTTGGTAAAGTACTTAAAGTTGTTTATTTTTCATCGTTCGGTAGCGTAACTTCAGGCCAAGTTAGTCAAATTAAATATATGTGATTGCCCTCTGACTAACTTAAAAGAGACCTTTTCTAAAAATAATTCTTTGAATGTTTTAAATGATTTTTAAATAATTTTTGATATGGCGTGCATTTCTCTACAGTCTGTAACGTATTTGCTTGAAAATGGATTTATCGAAAATTTACAAACTCTGTTTTCAAAATCGTCAGTAAAGATTAATCTCATTCATAAGTCAGATATTTTATTAGTTGTTGACTGTTAATAAGTCAATAAAGAGAAATATTTACGTAGAGCTTGAGTTTTTTTGAGTCTTTTTGTTGAATTCAAGAATTGCGGTCAGAAGTGCCAGTCAAGAACAACTATAGCGGTGAAGTAAGATTTACTTTATTTATCCTATCATGTAAAATAAAAAGTTAAATTTAAAATTTGTAAACATATTATCTCTACGTTCGTTCATTTGGGGATGTAAACTTATATAGTAATAATATTATGAAATATATTTTTTGCCTTGATCTAATTGGTTCAACTTTTTACCAAACTGATTTATTGTAAATAAATGATTAAATCCAATTTTATTTTCCATTGAGCTTATTGTAGAACTTTTTTTACTTTAAAAATTTTTAATTGCCCTTTTTACAGACCTGAATCTACTGGCAATGATCTGTGTGGTGATAATATTCTGGCAATGAATTTAAAAATATTGACAGCAATTGATTTATATTTAAATGCCTATTTTTACACTAATCATTCATCTTTTGTAAGCATGCGCTCAGGATATCCAAATGAGTTTTCATCAAATGATAATTGGTTAACAGTGTCTGTATCCACACATTCTATAGACTCAGGAAAATTAAAAGATGACCTTGTTAAGGATATGCGTAAAGAATTTGTATGGTCTGGATTTCTTTGTGTTCTTGCTCTTTCAACTGTGTGTTCTACAAGAGTTCAGGGTTATTATAGAACAATTAGTTCTCTCCGAAAATATAAAGCTATGTTTGATCTTAATATTGAACCTCGTATTCTATGTTTATCATCAGATATTGTTAATTTGCTGTTTTGTTTTGAGAAAATAAACCCTCCATGTCCATATAAACACAATCATTATGTGTTTCTTGTTTTCATTCCAGATAAGAAATGTTTAAAATGTAAAATCTGTAAAAAAGTTAACTTTACCAATCAATCAACAATTCATATGTTTGCAGAAAAATATAATATGAATGAGGTATCATCTATATCTACCATTAATGATAAAACTGTTTCATGTATTCTTGTCAACAAAAAGTGTATTTCTTTCTCATAATAATATTGTTTAAAATTCTTTTAGTGATTCAAAATCATTTTATCCAAATAATACATTATCTTCAAATAAAAATAGTTCTAAAACTAAAGACAAAAGCATCTTATCCACCGAAAATTTGTGAGCAGAGTCTCGCTTAAATGAAGTTGTCAAGTGAACTCTGTAGTGAATATGATATTGCATGTTTTCGTTTAAAGGCGTGTTTCCGTTCTACTTTGAAAGATTTACAAATATAAAATTTGATTTAATATGTTTTTTTTCCTGATGAAACTTATTCTTTTTCAAAAACAAATGGGCAAACTTTCAAACTTTTATGGTTAAAAAAATTTTCATGGCTTAGATATTCACCTTCTGAAAATGGAGCTTTATGTTTGTGTTGCATTTTCTTTGGATATAAATACCCTTCAAAAGCTCCTAGATTTAAAAAATTGTATTCTCAGTCATTCAAATACTGGCCAGAAGCTGTGAGCACTTTTTATAGACATTATCATGGTAAAAAAGGAAATATTTATGAACATCACTCAGCAGAAATATTTATGAGCATCATCACGCAGTACAAATTATACCTGGACCACAATTTCCGCAGTTTTAAATACTGTGAATAGAAATAATAAAAATATAGATATTTTGATAAAGAAAATGAAAAGGAGATTGCTTTAAATCTTGAGAAGTTGCCTCCAATTGTTGACTCAATCATTTTCTTAATCTGACTTATTATAGCTTTCAGAGGTCATTGTGATGGTCATTGGCAAATATTCTTAAGTGGGTGGAGTAGGTAATTTTATTGAACTTTTAAACTACAGAATCAGAGGTGGATATAAAGTTCTTGAACTTCATCTTAACAGGTGTGCAAAGAGTGCATCTTATATTTTTAATTTGTCACAGAATGAATTAATAAGTTGTTGTAAAAAGTAAACCCAGAATATTTTGATTTCTGAAATAAAAGAAAATCAATTTTTTTCAGTTATTGCTGATGAAGCATCTGACTGCTCCAATCAGGAACAATTGGCTTAGAGTAGTAATTAGATTTATAGACTTATTCCTATGATGTTAGGGAAGAATTATTCTTATTATGTTAGGGAGGAATTTATGGGTTTTTTACATTGTGAATTAGATACTGAATAAAGTTTGGTATATACACTGTATATACAAACCTTTATTCAGTATCTTTAAGATCTTCAAATAGAAAGTTTGTGTATTTTAACAATTTTTAAATTAAAAAATATAATTATTTTATTTTTTATAGTTTTATTTATTTAAAAAGACTATTTATTTTATTTTAGTTATTATTTTTTTTTTCATAAAATTTTATTATCTTAATAGACTTAAACATGCCTAATTTTTATTGTATTCTTTTTTTCTCTGTTTATCGTTAGTTTTACCTGTCAATTGTTAATCGAAACTGGTACCGTTATGTACTGTATCTTTGATATTTTAATTAGGAGCATTATATACATTGTCTATTATATACCTTTTCTCCATTTTTTTCAGCTTTACCTTGTGATTCTACCTTGTGTGGTTGTATGAGTTGAATTATGCTTTTAATTTAGTAAGCTTTCATTATTTGAAGTTTACTTTATTGATCATTAGTCAACAGTTTAGAGAAAATAAACACATGGAACACATTAACTGTAAGCATAACTTTGTTTACTAACATTAATATTACAATTGTTTAACATTATATAACATTTCTATCAAAGGAATAAGATAACAAAATGAGTTTTTATGGTTAGTTATCATATTATTGCTATTGTGTTATTGCATTTCTCATAGTATGATAGTCATACTAATTAAACTTTATTTTATTATTGCTATATCTTTAACTATATCTTCAAGTGCAAAACATTATTTTATCGTATAATAACTTGTGAAAAGCTAAGAGCACTTTTCACTTGGTACTGTTTAAATTAAAAAACTACATATCTAGAAAAAAATGCTTTAATATTTTATTATAAATTAATCATACTGTGTATTAAATTTTTAATTTAATAATATGTAGCTATTATAGTAGTTTGTTTTTACTTACTTTATTGTGTCTATTTTTTAAATATGCAACACCATTTGAGCCGCTTTTTTGAAGGCTTTTGCAAATAACTTATTTATTAAACAAATGGGGTAGGTGCTTTTTTTGTATGTATATGTATATGTATATGCATGTGTATATGTATGTATATGTATATATATATATATATATATATATATATATATATATATATATATATATATATATATATATATATATATATATATATATATATATATATATATATATATATATATATATATATATATTTATATATATATATATATATAATATATATATATATATATATATATATATATATATATATATATATATATATATATATATATATATATATATATATATATATATATATATATATATATATATACATATATACTGATTTCTGTTTATACAAATGTATGTAGATGTTGATTGGGAGACTTAGTTTCTAATATGTTCAGGTAATACATTAAACACAAAAAATTTCAGCATAAAAATAATGTTTTACTTTAGTACGTCTGTCACGTAAAAACTCCAGCAAATCACCATTCTCCATGAACTCAGTAATTAAGCATAAAGGTTTTTTAACTGTAGAGCAGCCAAGCATATTCACTATATTATGATGATAAGCAATTTTTTTCATGAAATTTATTTCTTCTCTAAAATCATCAATTTCTTGCTGACTTGCACTATCTATATTTAGTTTAAAAGAATTATGTATATATTCATATATATATATATATATATATATATATATACACATATAAAATATGTATATATAACAAAATTTAGCAAAATTAAACTAGATAGATAAATAAAAAAGATTAATTTTTTTATTTTAATTTTTTATTAAACACAGAAAGCCTTTTCTATGAAATCTTCAACTGTATATGAGACTTACAAAACTATAAAAAAAAAATTTATATTGATCTTCCTTTACAGTTTAAAAAGAAAGTAATTAAGATTTAAAAAAAAAAAAACTATGCTTATCAACAATATAGTATAGTTAAATTCTTATTGGTTAGGAAATTTTAAAAGCAATTTGAAAATAATAACATTTGGTTTATATGTTTATTGTATCATGACCCAGTTTATGCAGGTGAGCATTCAATTGAATATTTTTAACATAGGAAATAGTTTGAAAAAAATGGTTTAGTTTAATGCAATTGAAAACATGCTGATTTAATTTACTTGAATGAATGTTTGTTTTGCATGTGTAGATATGTAATTTAGTTCTAAATTTTAGGTTATTAGATTTTCTAGTGCATGTTGTTTTTCCATCACTCCCATTGAATGATAAAAAAAAAATATAATTTTGGAATAACAAGATATTAAAGTTTCAATGTTCCATACTTTACAATATGATGTGGTAAAACAGTTAACAAACTGAAGATACATAGTGCATAACTTACAACGTTTTCATACGCATTTAAAACCATTTTAACGTTAATAAAAAATGGTTTCGTATTAAAACTTAATATACTTAAGTGTCTGAAAACATTTTTCGGTTGACCGTGTAATAGTACTATAGAAACAAAAATTTATATTTGATTGAATTTAATTAATAAAAACATTTTCTTTTATTTATACTCATATTACTTTGTATAGTTTTTCATTTGTTACCTAGAACATTTACATATTTATATGTAAATGTTCTAGGTAACAAACGAAAATTATATATATATATATATATATATATATATATATATATATATATTATATATATATATATATATATATATATATATATATATATATATATATATATATATATATATATATATATATATATATGTTTGTAATAGCTGTAACACCTGCCCCAAAAACATTAAGTTTATATTGGTTCTATAAATCTTTTCTTTTTTAAGTTTGTTTTTAGTTGCATTAGGTCTTCTTTAAAGTTTACTAGATTATAATTTATGTGGATAATATGGATTTTTATTTATAAGACTTATATATAATAATTTTGTCAGTTTTTTGTAAAACATTTTTTTATTTTAAGCAAAAATACTTTTGTTAAGAAAAAATAGTCTTTTTTTATAAAGTTTTGTATCGTTTATATGATATATAATTGTATTTATTGTTAGACATTTAAATCACTTTATTTTCCATTGCTGAATTCATATCTCAATTAAACTCTTTTATTGCAAGTAGTCCATACAACGTTCCTGTCATAGCCTTACAAAATTGTCCTAACATTGTTATGACTTTTATCTATTGTTATGTAATAATGTCATTAATATCAGGTGTTTATTCAAGATTAGTTTGTTACTAATTTAAAATTATATTCAATTATAACAACTCTTTTCAAATATATATATATATATATATATATATATATATATATATATATATATATATATATATATATATATATATATATATATATATATATATTTATATATATATATATATATATATTTTTATATATATATATATATATATATATATATATATATATGTATATATATATATATATATATATATATATATATATATATATATATATCTATATATATATATATATATATATATATATATATATATATATATATATATATATATGTATATATATATATATATATATATATATATATATATATATATATATATATGTATATATATATATATATATATATATATATATATATATATATATATATATATATATATATATATATATATATATATACGTATATATATATATATACCTATATATACATTGATTTTTTAAAACATATAACACACATTGATTTTGTGTCTTGTAGTTATCAATCATGGGTAAAAAGGTACACAACAAATATATAAAGTTGTGATTTGGCACCATTGCTAGACCAAGCTAACAGAACACGTTCATGTACGTTCAACAAACGTTGCGAACGTAAGAGCACGCTCTATCAACATTCACACAACGTTCTGGAATATTTTTTGTTAGCTGGGGAGTTGATCATAAAAAAGTAAGGGTTTTAAACTATCATAAGAGAGACAAATCTTAATATGCCTTTTATCAAACCTGAAAAATTTCTACAAACATTAAGCTTTATCCGAAGCTTTAGACAATGTGCTTTTACCCTATCAGAAAGAGAATACAAACTCTAGTAGACAGAAATACTCTAAAAATTGAGTTTGATTATAGAAGGATTACATTTAGTTATAGAAGGGACATCATTACTTTGATGAAATTCAAATTGATTATAGAATAAAAGAAGATAAATCTAGAACAATTAGTTTTAAGATTTGCATTTGTAGTGCGGTGTTTACTCGCCCTTAATTTTCTTTTTGTATGTTTGTGTTCTGTTTGAATAATTAAAAATTCTGTTTGAATGTTTAAATCTGTATTTGATGCAATGTGAGGTCATCAAGTAACTACTTAACTATAAAACCTACGTTCACCTTATTCTCCAGTATTTTGATAAATGTAATGTTTTTCCTAATGAATTTCCAAAATATTATGAATAATGTTAAAAGGTATTGTTTGCAGAAAGTAACTTCTTTTAATTACTTCAGTTCAGGTAAGGTTCAGAATCATTACGATCATCACGCTAACAGTATTATATAACCTAATACTTTCTGCTGTATGCTTTCCTGCCTTGTAGGGTTTGCTTTTTTAGGCAAAACTAGGAGAAGCAAACTCCAACTCAAAAATCCCTTTTCATAGGGTTTTCTTCAAGTAAAGGCTAGGTGATGGTCTCGATAAAAATATTTCTCTTATGCAAATGTTAACTGCATCCATCTACTTTCTTGTATATACAATTTATTTTTTAAAATATGCAATAAAACAAAGACAGTGCCGTTTTTTTCTATCAAGTTTAATTGTAAGTTTACGAATTTAGTATATAAAAATAAACAAAGAATTATTTTTAAAACATTTAGTATATTGAGTATAATAGAAAGTATTTTTGTATGGGAGAGTCGACCTTATAATAATCCTAATAGCATGTTTTTGACTGCATAGAAGTTTTGTAACGTGGGTGCTGCACCAAGTTGGTGTTGCATAGTTTAGGTAACAGTTTATGAATAAAAAGTATAATTATTTTAAACGAAATTCTCTCGAAGTTCTGATACCAATTTGCACAAATGCAAGTTTGTAGTTATACAAGATTTTACGACGCTTCGCACTTATGCCAGTTTGCATTTAGAAAACTCATATTATTTGTTGCAAAATCAGGTTTAAATTCTTTGGCCATTCATTTATGTGCTTCTACCTAGTACCTCGTCATTCTTTTATTTTTTTCATTATTCTTTTTTGTTTTCCTTTTTCACAAGACTGCAATTTTTCAGATGTAATTTCTGATTAAATTGACCATGCCCTTTCTCTTAACCCCTCTGCCAAAATGTTGTTATTAGTACCAATAATGCTTATCACATATTTTTATTTCACTCCTTGACCTATTTCTCTGACTCTAGCTTGTGTTCAGTTTCTCCTTTTTCTGTTGGTTCTGAACATAGCTCTGACCATGCAATGATCTTTTTAAATCTTTTATCTCATACTTCCTTCTCTGAAACATCCAATCTTTGCAACTCCTACTCTTAATCTTTAGCTGAAAGGGATTTATTTCGTGATGGACAGATGTTATTTTTCTCTTTCTTTTCTTTCTCACTTTTAAAGAATATGCTGACACTATCATAAAAAAATTTTTTTAGAATTAATAACTTCTGCTTTTTTTAAAAAACAATTTTTAACAATGGGGCTTATTGTAGTTATCATTTGAGCTCACTTATTTTTATAATTTTTAAGTAGAAGCTTATTTTTGTGCTCGCATTTAAAAATGAAATCCAGTTTATTGTTTAATAAAAATTCCTGGTTTGCAATTGTAGTTATTTCAAATTTTTTTGATTGCTCTTCTTTTTAAACACTGAGCACTCTATTTTGCAGAATACATTTTAAAGATATATATATATATATATATATATATATATATATATATATATATATATATATATATATATATATATATATATATATATATATATATATATATGTATATTAGTATAAAAATATATACCCCATATATTTTTTTCAACAACCAATTTTTATGCGGAGTTGCTAATGAGTGGCATAGAGGTCATATTTATATATAAAACTTTTTTATTTTTTATTTTTTCTTGATTGAAGGCTCGAAACTAAAAAGCCCTAAAATTTCATTCTCCCTTCCCAAATAATTAGAGAGCAATAAGTAAGTGAAATTATTTTTATGAACACTTTAACTTTGTTTATATTCATTGATAAATTTTAAGTTTTATAGTAAAATCTTTCAAAGTTAATAAATTATAACCATAAAATGTTCAAACCTCCCCCCCCCCCCCCTCAATTTGAGGAGGTTACAAATTTTGTAATTTTGAATGCTTAAAAATTGTAAAACAATATTTAATATTTATTAAAAAATATAAATTGAGTTAAAAATAGCAAATTAATTAATTCATTAACTTGTTGCTCTCACGTTTCTCAAACACCAAATAATGCTGGATCCTTTACAAGAACCTTTTTTTTGAAGTAGCTTCTAAAGCTCTACATTATCTTGAATAAGTTTTACTGTAAGCATAGCAAAATTGAATTTGTGTTTCTTGTTTTGAGAATCATACCCTGCAAATTATTTTTAAAAACAAAAACTATATTTCCTGTTTTGAGAAATAAGTTTCTTAGACTATGTTTAACAGATTTATAATTTTGCTGTGAGTTCTGATGAGTTGTTAGCAACTTTAAAAGATTTTAAAAGTTTTGGAATATATGTATCCAATAAGTCTAAGGAAGTCTCATCCGTAGGCCTTTTTTCAAACTATGACTTAGAATATTAAAAAATAACATATTAGAATATTAAAAAATAAGCAGCCGTGCAGCAATAGAATATTAAAAAATAAGCAGCCGTGGCGCAGTGGTAGCGCACTTGCCTCAGAAACGTAAGATCCGTGGTTCAAACCCCATCTCTGGACAAGTTTTGCGACATCAATTGGGAAGGAGGCGTGAACTTCCTATTAAATGCTCTTCCGCGGTGCTCTGTGATAAGACCGTAAGGACTTCTTGGGGCACCTAAATCAACATAAAAAAAAAAAAAAAAAAAAAAAAAAAAACAGTAGTCTGGTGAAATATACAATTCAAGACCTAGTGGCTGGTCTTTATTAGTAAAAAATACTTTCAGAAGTATTTCAGCTTTGATTTTATCCGTTTTTACACCTTTTCGGATCTCCATTTAATTTTGAACACAGAACTTTTTACTATTTTTATATTGTGATCTCGGTCAGAAAATGCTAACGCCAATACTAAATAACTCTAAGATTTTACCATGAATTGAATTTCACCTCTGCAGCAGGCTCAGTATACATCTGCCAATAATCTTGTTGATCTTAAAAGTGTAAATTAAAAATAATGCAGTTTAGATAAAAAAAAAGGCTAAAACGACATTGCTAAATACTAACTACATATATTTTTGACAAGATAAAATCAAAGGGCTTTTCTGTTTATTTCATTTTTATTATACTTTTACTGGTTTTAAGAAAAGTCTGTCATTAGAAAAAATATTGGTTTAGAGTTATTTTCTTTGTATTTTACATCTGATATTAAACCATTTTGCAAACCATTGTTTTTAAACATTTTTTTCCTTTATGATACAAACTATTCTTAAATAATAAGACTAAACTATCAAAACCTATGAAATTAAGTTTTACTTTAGAAATAGCAGAATCAGAAAAGTTGCAGGTTAAAAACCCCGATTTACAAGATAGAAAAATTTAGTCAGCCATTCTATTGATCTCTTTGAGTATTTTATTACTCACAATAAAAGCATGCCTGAGTTTAGAGAAATGAAATTTGAATTTCATGAAATTCAAGTCTTGTGAAACAGCTCCACATTTGTTAATTTTTACCTAAAGGTCTGATTTTTTTCCGCAAATTCATAGAAATCTCTCCACTTCTTAAAAGTTTAAATGTAAATAATTTTAAAATTAGAAACTTATTCGTTTTATTTTTGTAAAAAGATATTTTAAAATGAAGCAGTATTATCTTTACTTTACTATTTTTTAAACTTAATTGGTTTTAAGATATAAATAATTTATTCTCTAGCTTAACAGGTTTATTTACGGCTACGGCTAAATGAAGCTCTCTGACAAGATGGCAAGAGGCTAACAAGAATACTGTTCGGCCAGGAAACTTAGCTAATCTTGTACAAACTCTTTTCAAATAGCCAGAGTTGAAGTGAGTGTACTGTATAAAATCAAAAGCATCTGACAAAATTCTAATTGCTGCGTATTGGGCCTCAATGCTATTGTGTTTAAAAACCACGTTTATTTAGTATCATAACGAGTTTGTGCGTTTTTAAAATACCACCAGTTAACAAATAATAGTAATAAAAAGGCACACAATTGCTATAGATAAAAGACTTTCCATTACTTGTAAAGTCGTTATTATATAGTTAATGATTTGTAAATTTCTATTCGCGTCGATTGTTTGAAAATGTCCGTAAAAACTCAAAAAATGCAAAAATTTTAAACTTTTAAAGAGCGGCGCGAGTATAAGTAGTCATCTAAAATAAAAAATAAAAAAACTTATATTAAAGAAAAAAATACCTTGGGAATATATTACGACATTTTGAATATTAAAATTTGTTTATGAGGGTCAAAATTGGATTGACAAATATATATATATATATATATATATATATATATATATATATATATATATATATATATATATATATATATATATATATATATATATATATATATATATGTATAGATATATATATATATATATATATATATATATATATATATATATATATATATATATATATATATATATATATATATATATATTTATATATATATATATATATATATATATATTTATATATATATATATATATATATATATATATATATATATATATATATATATATATATATATATATATATATATTAATTTGTCACCTCAATTTATATACTCACCGAAGTTGTAATAAAATAAATTTGTCACCTTTTAAAACTTTAACTGCTACATTACTAGTACGATTTTGATTGAGGGCAGGTAAAGAAGCTCTTGATCGATGAGCATGTTTTGTTTTTAAAAGAACTTTTAAATTTATTTTAGCCATGAAAACAGCACTATATGCTCCTTCACTTATTTTATTATTTATAAGAAAGCTTTCTGGATAAATCTCCCATTCGTCTGCTAGTATTTCATGAGATGTAACTTGGTTGTTATGTCTAAAGAAATTACACAAATAAATTTTTTTTTTTTTATCTCACTAAACAATTTTTTGTAAAAATAATAGTAAAGTATTAAATAACTTCAGTAAAAAGTTTTCAGTGGTTCCGGGTAAATGTTTTTGATTACAATATCATGAGATCCACCGACGGGTTTACAATTTTTAGCTTAAAGTCAACTCACTTCAAGGCTCGCAATAGCAGCATATTCTGGTTTGGCATTGCCCCTTTTCAATAAATTTTGTGGTCCATCTAATTTACACTTCAATTTTTTGTTTTGTTTTTGTAAATTATTGAGAAACAGATTTTATGTTTTTGAATATTTCGAATTATAGTGCTTTTTTAAAAAATATTTTTTTCACATTAAAAATAAAGTCTAGTTCTTTAATTAACTTTTATTCTTTAATTAAATTGTATTCTAAACATTTATAGAAATAAAAATCCAATTTAAGTAAAAACAAAATCTGCTATATACAAAAAAACGTTTCTTTTGTGTGTGAGTACACACACATGTGAGTATACACACATGTGAGTACACACACACGCACACACACACACATATATAAATAAATAAATATATATATATATATATATATATATATATATATATATATATATATATATATATATATATATATATATATATATATATATATATATATATATTTTCATGTGTTTTTATATTTGTGGACCTTGTCTAACAGGGAGAGGACCTCATTAGAAGAATTAGCCAAATATGACAACTGTGTTCCATAAACGAACAAATGAGAGATTTATAGAGGTAGAGAGTGGAAGCAGCATTAAGAATATAACAAGCACAACAAATAAATACAACTTGAGGTTCTGACTTAATCGATACATATTGATTCTGAGAGAATCATTCTGTATCGATTGTATAGAGTAACTTCTCAGACTTGATGTGAAGTTTCGTATGTTTGTTAAATAAAAACTCAAATGCCATCCATGTGAAATAAAACGTAGGCCTTGGCTTTATTAATAACATAGTTAATTTTCTTCAGAACCATAGATTTCAAAAATTTAGAAATCTGAAAAAATAGACTGTAATTTAGAAAACAAATTCTGCATTGATTTTCTGTAAGAATAAAAAGTCTTTGGTATCAAGAGAGCTAATATTGTGAAAAAGATAAAAGAAGTGATTACAATAAAAAACAGCCATACAAGTATGAGAAAAACAATTTTCAGAATTAACGCACAAAATAAGGAGAAGTAAGAATGAGCGAAATCAATTTTAGAATAAGATAGATCAACTTTTGAAGTTTTTTTAAATAAAAACTAAAAAGCCTTGGTAATACTAGTAAAAAGTCTGAATAGGCTACAGTAAAAAGGATCAAAGCAACAACAAGCTACAAAAGCCTATGATTGAAAAATAATTTCAGAAACAAAAGCCGAAGCAATTTGAATGACTATCAATGGAAAAACTTTTCTTGGTTTACCTTTAATCCAAGCTCTTCTAAGAATAAAGAAAAAAAAAATTAAGAAGCAAAAAATCAGCAAGAAGTTTTCACCGCAAGCCGTCTTAAGAAACTCGTAAAAAAAAAAAAAAATTAACTTCAAAAAATTATATTTACATTTTAAATAATAAAGTAAGACAATGGATTATTATCATTTCCAATTATAAAGAAAATGGCTGATATACTAAAAAAGAAAATTTATTTTGGAAAAAACAGAACAACTTTTAAAAGACCAAGAAAAAAACTTTGTTATTATTACTTCTGCAAATATAAAAATTTTAACGGAGAGAATTGATAAACTTGAAAAAGATACACATAAAAGCATAACAAAAACTAACAATATTGCAAATGATTTGAACTTTTTAAATGAAAACTTCAGTACTAAGACTACAGAATTAGGAAAGGGTCTGAGGAAACGCATGAAAAAGAAAGGGAATACGGCAAATTCGCGGTCATATCCTACGACAAACAAGTCATTTGCGATTGGACTGCGAAGAAACAAGATGCTGTTTCCACTTAATCTATATAAGTATTCATATATTTTTAATTGAACTAATTTTTTCCTAATCTTAATTTTATATTTAAATATGGATGATAATTTATTAATTAAACTTTGTGATGAAAATGTCACAGCTTGTGATAATGACGTCACTATTAATTTTAACCTAAAATCAGTAGAAAGCAAGTACTATTCAATTTCTGAAATTAATTTTTATTTTCAACAAAATACAAACACATTTTTAATCTTAAACATTGTTATTCGAAGCCTAAACAAAAATTTTGAAGATTTTAAACTTTATATGCACGAATTAAATCAAATTTTGTAAAAAATCTGTCTTACTGAGACGTGGTGTAAATATGACGAGAACGGTCGTTTACAAGCGCTATGTTTATATACGCATGCGTGAGAAAATGCAAAAACTTTTAAGACTTTTAAAATGGCTACGGTTCTTAACTACAGATTATATTTTATATATATATATATATATATATATATATATAAATATATATATATATATATATATATATATATATATTATATATATATATATATATATATATATATATATATATATATAGATATATATATATATATATATATATAGATATATATATATAGATATATATACATACATACATACATACATACATACATACATACATATATACATACATACACACATATATGTATGTGTGGGTGTGTGTACAATAATACACATTATGTGTGTGTATTATTGTACAGATACACATACACACATATATTATATATTTGTATATATATATATATATATATATATATATATATATATATATATATATATATATATATATATATATATATATAATTCAATTTCAATTCAATATATTCTGAAATAAGTTAAAATAAGTTGTAAAATTTCAAGGACTTTTACAAATAGTACAAGTACTAATCTAAAGTAAAAACCTACAACATTACAATAAAAGTGATTATAATAACAATAATAATAGTATTGATAATAATTATAGAAATAATATTAACAATAATAATAAGATGACGATGAAAAGGAATATTATTAGTAATAACACTAACAATAATAATAAAGATATTATACAATCAATATTAGATAATAGCAATAATAGTGGTAATAACAATTATATAGTATAAGTAGTAAATAAACTTAAGAAAAAAATTAAAAAAGCAATAATAATACTTATTATGTTATAAATAAAAATAACAATTTACTAATAAAGATAGAAGAATATTATTAATATCAATACTAATAATAACAATAAAAATATGAGAACAAAAAGTTAATAATAAAACTAGTAGGTATCAAGAAAGTAGTAATAATAAAAGCATAACAACATATTTCAGAGTCTTCAGGTATAATATTGCTAAAAAATAGTTAAAAAGACAGTTTTTGAAATTAGTAATAGAGTCAATTGATTTTAATGGTGAAGGTAGACTGTTCCATGATTTTACACTTTGATATTTTATGGATTTTAGACCATATTTTACAGAAGAATGATTTGGTACATGAAGATTATAGCTATTAGCAGATCGTTGATGATAGCGACAGCTTTCTCTAACAGTAAAAAAAATTGTAAATGTGCTGGGTAGACATTTTTGTTTATAATTAAAGACAAAATGGCAATTTAATAGTTGAACTAAATCATCAATTTTGAGTATTTTGGATAAAAAATAAAGATAATTGGAGTTAGATTGATAATGCTGAAAATATATTATTTTTAAGGCTTTGTTTTGTAAGTTGGATAATCTTAAAGTTTCTTGGGTGCGGATTTGTCCCCAAACTTGACACGCATACCTAAGATGTGATCCAAAAATGGCATGGTATATATTGATAAGCGTTTCAAGATTGACATAATGACGAATTTTAGCTAACATCCCATTCGATCTACATAGTTTTATTGACAAGTCCTTAAGATGTTGAGAAAAAGTTAAATTTGAGTCAATTTTGATTCCAAGATACTTTAGGTACATAACTGGATTGATTTTTTGACCACTCAGCCTAAAATATAGGTGTTTACTGATTTTAGATTGTTTTGATTTAAAGATGATAATATCGGTTTTACTAATATATTGAGACAGTTTGTTAGATCGAAGCCATTGAATTAGATTAGATAGATCATGATTAATATATTTGTTTATTTTTTTTAATGATTTATTAATTAAAAGTAAGTTAGTGTCATCAGCAAAATGGTAGGAAGTTGTATATTTTAATGATAAATTAAGGTCATTAATGAAAACAAGGAAAAGCAATGGCTCTAATACAGAGCCTTGAGGTACACCTGTAGTGCATTTTACTAAAGGAGATGTGTTACCGTTAATAGATACAAATTGAAACCTATTATAAAGATATGAGGTAAACCATTGGAGAGAAATTCCTCTAATACCATAGTATTCCAGTTTACTTAGAAGAATAGAATGATCAACAGTGTCAAATGCTTTCTGTAGATCAACAAACACACCACAAGCAAAAAGTTTATTGTCAAGAGCTTTTCTGATAACCTCAGTGATTTAAATAAGTGCATGCGTTGTGGAATGCTTGCTTTGAAACCCATATTGGTATTTGTAAAGACATTGATATTTATCTAAAAAATTGTAAAGTCTGTTGTGCATAGCTTTTTCAAAATTTTACTGATGTTTGACAGTAGCGAAATTGGGCGATAGTTAGTGTGGTCAGTTCTAGAGCCTTTTTTATGAAGTGGAATAACTTTAGCTATTTTAAAGACATCTGGAAAAAGTCCATTTTCAAAAGAGCTATTTATCATGGTACAGAGAGGCTTTGAGATGATATGGGAAACAAGTTTGAGAAGAAACGTGGGAATACTATTGATACCTAAACTTTTTTTACTTTGTAAACTTTTTATAAGATTTGATACTTCATTTTCAGTGACTGGATCTATAAAAAAGGAGTTAATATTTGGGTTATTTAAATAGCCTGAAAAATTACATTTAGGTGAAACAATTTTTATTAACGGTGTTTGTTGAGTATTTACAAAGTAATTATTAAATATGTTTGATAC